GTGGCTGCAAGTCAGTTAAGCAGAAACAAGGCCTCTCTGACTGACTGAGATGAGGAAATAAGAAAGAAAAGGGCAAGCCCCGAGTCAGACAGACAGGTTTGCACTGATTACATCTTTAAACTTCCAGTAACCTTCCACAGAATGTATCAGCCTTTGTCATTTTGCGGAGTTTTTTTTTTTCTGCATAGAATAAAAAATCTAAATCAGTACCATGCAAAAAGGTATTCAGATCTCTAGCTATTACACATTTTGTCCAGTTAAGACAACAGACTTCATTGTGTTTTATTAAAAGTTTATGTGAAAAAACCAGGACAATGTCATGCTTGCTTGTGAAATGTGAAGAAAACTATTACTGAACTGAAAAGTGTTGTGTGCATTTATATTCAGTTTGGTTTACTCTCTCATGTCCCTTAGTGAAATCCAGTGCAGCCAGCAGAAGTCGCCAAGTAGCAAATCAGAAAAGTAGCAATGCACGTCACTATGAATCATAAAGAATGAAGATTCTCTTGTGTGACTTGAACATTAATGTTTGCCGATGTTCTCCATCTTGTCTGATGGGACTTCGGCTGTTTTGAAGGAAAAAGAAGTAGAGGCTAAAAGTTTTACTTTCTATATGAGCAAACCTGTTAGACAAGCCACAAAGTATTGACTCAAAGGCGCGAGCACAAATGCATTACACACTTTTCAGATCTTTCTCTTTTGAAAAAAAGCTAAACTATTTGAAGACGACGGACCATTTCCCTTCTGCTTAACGTCCGTCTGCTGCTTTGTGACTTTGTGTCCGAATAAAGCTCTCAGAAGCAGAAGTTTGCAGTTATAACACGACGAAATGTGAGAAAGGTCAAAGGGTACGAATACTTTTTGAAAGACGCTGTAAAACTGGGAAGTCTTTAATTCTCCCATGTCAAAATACGCACTAACATACAAAGCCGGACAAGGTAGTTAGCAGATAAAAAGCTTTCTGTGAAGCCCTCCACCTCCTCGTGTGAGAACAGATATTATTAACCAAGCATGCAGTGTTGATCCAGCCTTGTGGAGACCCTGTGCCAAGTGGACTCCCGCTGCCCTGGCTCCATCATTCATATCTGTCTGTTATTTTCCTCTGTGGCTCACAAAGACACAACAGTCAGGGCCCAAAGCAAGCCTACCACTTCATATAATGGAGGAACCCATTCCTCCGTTGTCAAGAGGAGATGCGTGCGTGCGTGTGTGTTTGTGCGCACGCATGTCTTGGACCGTTTAGGGGGCACATCAGCTGGAAGAGCTACTGTGAGCCAGTTGGCAATATGCTGCGAAGAATGTGCTGACATGTGCAATACACACACCGACTCGCGTTCACGTGCACGCGCGTCCACGTGCGTGCTCCTCCAGTATTTTTTTTTTTGTTTTTGTTTGATGTGCGACATGAAAATGTGTTCAAGGCTTATTGGCTGGACGACATTAGCTCCTTACATTAAACAGCGGTGGAGCTGCTGCTGGCCCCTCCTGCGGCGTTGTACACATTCTGAGCTGTATCCCGATGAATGACCTCCTTATGACCCCCTAACCCTGGCTTTAATTATTTGTTTGAAGACAGCATGGAGTTCCCATGCTGAGAGGTGCTCTGTGTACCCTCTGTGTGCATGTGTGCGTTGCCGCTCCTGCGCACTAACACTGAGCAGAGGCAGGCCATAATAAGCCGGACCACCAGATGTAGATAATAAAACACGAGCTTTTAGGCTGGAGGTTTGAAGAGAGTTTCCCCCCCCCCCCTCGAGAGTCTCCTGTGTTCTGGTTAGCCTTCGGACACGCCGGCGGTGGCTGCGGTCGTGTCCGTGGTGGCTATGTGTCGATTTCCAAGCGCGCACGTATGTTTTTAGCGAGCGGTTTAGGAATTCTCGCTCCCTGTGGTCAACCTCTGCGAGTCTCTCGGGGCTCCGGGCTCATCCGTCTGAGTGTCCATCCAAGCTGACTGGCCCTCATCTCTAGAGGATTCTGTGTTGTTCTAAGCACACTCCATTAGCGGCTCACGGTTTGAGGGAAAACATTGTTATCAAGCCAGAGTCTGATAATCTCAATTGGCTTTACTCAGACTGATAAAAGGTGCTTTAAGGCCACGAGAGGGGGGCCACGGTCATCCCCCCTCCCGTCCCATCACTGCCTTCAGGGTACCTCATCGGCTGCTGGTTACTGTGGCAACACTAAAACTAAGTCTTCGTGGCGTGATATGGTATTAGTTAGAGCTGGGAATACTGACAAAAATGAGACCCATATGAGAAGCTGACTTTGTGGGGAAGTATTTGGATATCTGTTTGTCTTCACAGCGGTAAAGTGTTTTCTTATTAAAAATTTCAATGAGAGCAAACATTGAAACCTTATTTCCTGTGTACTTTAGGTACAACATTTCCTGTAAGAATTTGGATAAACACAACATGAACAACACTTTTTTTTTTTTTTTTTTTTCCCTATCCCCTTCAGAATATATAAGGAAAACTGAAAACGGCACTTTGATCCTACAGCTCGGCTCTCTCCTGGAGAAAGTCCTCTGCAGTCACTGGAAATCATACGGTCAAATTCAGCACCTGGGTAGAACGTTCCTAATATTACGTGTTTATGGTTATGACCCAGAGTGGGTATGAATGCACATGGTTGTGATTTTCAGCCCCTTGGTGAACGTAGAGAGGGAGAAGGCAGGGCATATATTTTGGCACGCACCGTGCTCAGCGCTTGGAGCAGGGACGGTGAGGTTAAGAATTATTGCTTGCTTTTCGAAGCTAGTTTTTCTTAGTTTTATTTTATTTGTGTAAGAGGGGAGAATGCAAATTATTTTAACAGTTTGTGTAAATGTGTCAGAGTTCACTATTTAGGCTTATCGCCGTTTGTAGTTTCTGTCTGGCTGATGGTGTAAAACAAGGTGAAAACATTAAGTCACGTGATTTGTGCTGGAAAAAAATCTAATGACTAAAAGAGTGAGAGAAGAAAAAAAAACATGGCTATTATGTAAGTTATTAATTTATACTAAAGATGGTTAAGCTTACAGTTTTCTATAGTTCCATCTCTCATGATCATTTTAATGCAACATATTATATGTTGACAAAATATCCAAGTTTCTCAGGATGTGCAGATGTTTAGTGCAGATGACTAAAAATGCTTCTTTAAAATATGCATCTGACTTTTTAATTACATTTTCTAAAACTTTTTTTTCTTTTTTTTTTTTTTTTTTTTTTTGCATTGTAGTTTTTAATGGTAATGTTCAACTGTTCATACAGTTTTGTTTTTGGGACATGATATTTATGTACGTCTGTAAAGTCACAGTATTTAGTTTCTTATGTGTCTGAAACTCATCAAACTGAATTTAATTCTCTTCCCAACCTTTGTTAAAAATGTAGACATTGTTTTTGCAGACTGAAATGTTTGCAGTCATCTTCTTGCTTCTCTAAGTATATTTTCTGGCAACAGAAAATAACTTATAGCTTGCAAACATGTGTTACCAGAGAAGAAGTTAAATTAAGAAAGATAGCCTCCTGCTATATGAACACTGTCTGGTTTTAATTTCTTCAGTTGTTACTGACAGCACAGCTTACTTATGATTTATCTTTTGTTCTGTTGACAAACCTCCTCCGGCCTAATTTAAGTCCCCAATAATGCAAAGGAATCAAATGATTCCCAGTCTAACTACGATTCACCTCCTTTATGTTTTTTTTTTTTTCCCTTATCCTCATATGGATGTGTTTCATCTTTTTTCTCTCGGGGGCCCACAGCACCCCTGTGTACCTGCACTCTGGATGCCCCCTGGCAAATGAGTGCTGCGTCTCTCTTTTCCCAGCCGTGCATTTTGTACATTTAACCATGTCACTTTGAGCCGGGCAGATTACAGCCGTTTAAGTTCATTGGAGAAGGTAAGGGCAGGTATCAGGGCTTCATGGGGGATTAGGAGCCCAAATTGGTTCCAGCTCTCCCTTCCTTCTAATGACCAGTTCTTTAGCCATATTGATGGTGCCGTGGGCCTGTATGTTAGAGGACGGACTTGAATCCCCCCCAACCCCCCGCCACCTCTCTCTCTCCCTCTCCTGCGTGTTTTTTTTGAACCAGCATGCTGGACAGCTCCAACGTGATCTGAAACTGTTGTTTAATGTCAAACACATGGCGTTACCTGCGAGGCTACGGCCAAGTTCTTTTTTTTTTTTTTTTTTTAAGGTTTTTTGAAAGCACACGTGAAAAGAAGAAGAAAAAAAAACGGCATTGGAAAGGGGTCAACGTTTCGGGGAATGTCGAGAGCTGGCTCGGTTTTGGTGACCATGCAGCCTGCTCTTGACGGAGCCCAAAGGCACGCCATTCGAAGTTAAAAAGGTTGCCCCTGGCTGGCACTTACCTCCCGATGACCTCTGGCTCCACGCTGGTAAAGCCACAGGAGCAAGGCCGGCCGGGAAGGCTTTGTGGAGCTGCACTTATTCGCTGCTCTGGTGGTGATAAAACTTCAGACAGCCTAATTGATGGGCTCACTGACATAACAATACCTCGTGAAAGCACGGAGTGGCCCATGCCTGGTCCTCATTTCTAGACAGCTGGAAGGGGAGCAGAACCCCCTACAATGCAGCCAGAGAGGGGGTCCCACCGAGGGGAACTGTTGCGGTGGGGGTAAAATGGTGGGACGCAATGAAAGGAACCATTTGTGTCCTGCAATTTGCTCACAAAGAAGCCGACGCACAGAAAAATAGCGTTTGGAGAGACCGGCATATACAATTCTGTAAGCTCTGCATGTGTAAAGTTGGTGTTTGCTGCACAGAGCTGGCTGAAGGTGTGATTGGGACAGGAAGAGGGAGAAAGGGATGTGCCCAAGCCTCTGTGCCCAAGCTGCACTCAATACTTGAGGAATGTCTCCCCAGTGCCCATAGCAACCAAACGTAATCAAAAGCTTTATTAAAAGAGTGGGGAATAGATCATATGGAACATTAAAAGTATCCCTGACTGGGTTCCCAAGTCAGCACACAATTGCCCTTTTGTTTGTTTCTGTTTTCTTGTGTGCGCCTCTCTCTCAAGGACTTTGTGGCTAATGTTGCCATTAAGTCATGCAAAACTGTTTGTCTTTGTGGAGGCCTGTGATGAATCTTCCTGAGTGTGAAAGAGGGGTTGATTTAATGTTTATTTCTTCTCTTTGTCCCCCCCGCTCCCTTCTCTCTCTCTTTCTGCCAGGTTTATTAACGCCAGAAGAAGAATAGTACAACCCATGATTGACCAGTCAAATCGAGCAGGTAAAGAAAAAAAGAAGCAGAACGATCCAGCCAATCTGCACGAAAGTGTTCTTAACCTTTGTTTCCCCTACATGAACACGTTAAAAAAAAAAATCACGCCTTGAACCAAGATTTTTCAACATTGCACCCCTTCACCTATTAACTCTTTAAAAAAAAAACATTTCCGTTCACTCTGTTCATTCTCTTTTCCCCTCTTTTCAATGTGATGCTCTAAAATGTTGCAAGCCATTTGCTGATCTACTCTAATTGGACATTTCCCAGTCTTAGTGGAGAGAGGGTTATATTAGCATTCTCTGTGAATTACTAATTGGACACAGGAGGAGAGCTGGAGACGCTAGCAGCAGCTTACGAGTTATCTCCTTTTTTAGTCTGTTTTGATTTGATTTAGGTTTGTTTTTTCTTTATTTATTTTGCCTGGGGTTAAGTAGGTTTACATACTCTCACTTTCTGCACTAGTTTTATGTTCCACTTCCTCTGGAATCCCTCTTCTGAATTATGTATTTAAGTATTAAGAAATCCTCTTAACTTTGAAAGCATAACGTTTTAGTAGGAGAAAGAAGAGCTTGAGTAAAAAAAAAAAAAAAAATGCCAATACAGACACATGTGATATCTACACAGATATATTGTTACATTTCTTTAAATATTAATGCCACAAACCATACACAATACCTGAAAATTCAACACATATTTAAGACTGGGCCTAACAATGAAAACAAGCAGCAAGAGCTACTTGTGTGAGGATGGCCCAGTCAAAGGCCAGTTTGACTCAGTTTGAGCTATTTTGAAAAGAGAAGTTGGTTGAAAGAATTCACTCAGTAAACCAGCAAATCTGGTAGTGATATACCTTTAAAGACTTGCATCTTAAATTGACAGCAATGACTGGTGGCTAAATAAATTATTGTCTTGGGGGGTGAAATTAATTCTAGATCTTTATTAGTGAATCGTTTTGAAAACAATGTATTATTTTCCTTTAACCTCAAACTGATGTGCTGCTTTGTGTTGGTCTATCACTTAAGATTTCCAATAAAATAAATGGATGTTTGCTGTTTCAATGAGACAAAATAGGAAAAAAAGCTGAAGGGGTCTGAATACTTTCACCAAGGGACTTAGAGGATGCAGCCAATCATAACCAAAACCAGACACAACTGATGATTACTGCTGAGCTCTGTGGGCTCAGATAAATCGTTCACACCAGGGGATAATGACACATCCTACAGGTCAACCAAGTTCAGTGGAATTGCATCTCTTGTTTGTTAGAAAAGAAGCACATGCTATAAAAAGCACATGGCTTATTTAGTCCCTCGCAGCAACAACTCCTCTCATCCTGTCAAACTGCACGTCCTCTCCTCTCGCTTTGAGAACAATGTATCTTCCCTGCGCATGGTTTTCAGTGACACCGACAGCATGTACGCACGAGTGTGTGTGTGCTTGCATGCATAAGGACCCACTGTATGCGTGTTTGCATGCCACGCGTCAGCCAATGCAGTCCACAAACGCGAGCACAATGTCTTACAGTATGTTTGGGCTGGAGCTGAGACAATTGCTGATTGTCTGGTGTGTTCTCTTTTCTTCTCCTCCACCCCCCCCCACTCCCTTTTTTCATGTCCACGTTTTGACTACAATCAGGTTTTCTTCTTGATCCTTCAGTGAGCCAAGGAGCAGCGTACAGTCCAGAGGGCCAGCCAATGGGCAGCTTCGTGCTGGATGGTCAGCAACACATGGGGATCCGACCAGCTGGTAAATGCATCATCATATGTCTTTTTTTTTTTTTTTTTTTTTTTATCTCTCCTTCCAACACCCTTGCTTTACCGACCATTAGTTTCACTCTTGGCTGTTTTGCGAAGCTGAAGCTCACTGATGTGACTCACTGAGACGTAGTCAAGCCAGTCTAGGAAAAGTCCTCACAACTAACCACATGAACCACAATGACAATGTTTATTCTTTTTACAAGTCCACTTCCCTGTATAAAAAAATAAAATAAAATCTTTGGACGTAGCCACAGTTAAATCTAAGATGCACAACAACATGCACAGTGCCTTTAAAAAGTAACATCATTAAAACAATAAATGTTTTTTTTTTTTTTTTTTTTTTACATTGATATGTTGCATTTTTACGTAGTTCATTCAGGTTTTATGTGATCAACACAGAATAGTGCATAAGTGTGATGTGGAAGGAAAGTGATATGTGATTTTTGACATTTTATACAAATTAAATCTGAAAGGTGCGGTGTGTCTCGTAGTCACTCTGATTCCACTGACTAAAACCCATTGGCAGCGTTGCCTCCAGAATTCCCCTAATTTCTTAAATAAAAATTAACACTGTACATCACCATAAACACACCAACACCATTGCAAAACATGGCGGTGGCAGCATCATGCTGTGTTAATTAACAAGCATCATGATGGAGTTGGTTTTAGGAGTTATAAAGATCCCATAATTCAAGTGGTAACAGTGTTACAAAGAAAATGTTTTTCTTTAGTAGAAACAGCAAAACGTGTTGATTTGAAGACGGATGGGACTATTTGTCAAAGACAAGCAGATATTTCAGTCTTTAGATATACACAGTACTTAAAAACATTTCCTATAAGACTTGTAGCTGTAATTGCATCAAAAGATACCCAAATACAGCTGTATAAAGCACATTTTAGATATTTATTTGTAAAGGAATTTAAAAACTTTGTGTTGGTCTACCGTTTAAAATGCCCCTAAAACTACATCCGGGCTTGTAGTATCAATGTGAAAATAAATGTACAATGGATTCTTTTTCAAGGCACTGTCAACGCTCTTGCACTCTTCCACCTCTGCTTCATCATTTCCATCTGAAGCTAACCGACTTCTTCCTGTCTGTCAATGGGTCTTCTTCTGTCTTTCTGTGATTCAAACTCCTGCTGATCCTTTTGTTTCTGGCATTTATCTCCTCTCTCTAGGGCCTATGAGTGGAATGGGGATGAATATGGGCATGGATGGGCAATGGCACTACATGTAACCTCCATCTTGTAACGCAAAGAAAAAGGGGGAAGTAAGTACTGGGAATTTCTTTGTTACATGTTTAACTGTTGTTTATAAGGGGGGCGGGGGGCGAGTCAGGGTCAGATGTTCCTCAGAATTGCATTCCAGCTGACCAGCACGTTGTCTTTTTTAACGGCAAGTTTTCATCCCCAGCAACAGTTCTCGGCTAAATGTTTTAGCGACATGCTTTGAGTGTCGAAGTGGGAGGGCAGAGGATGAATTGGAGACTTGTGGCAAAAAATAGTGGGAGTTGTCCTGGGATGGCGAGGACCCCGACTTGTAGACGCCAGACAACAGGGGACAACAACAGGATAAAGAAAAGAGAGGTGGGGGGGGGGACAACCTGGCATGGCATCCACAAATTTATTTATCACAATAGCGCCATCGCTCTCCTCGTCGTGGACAGCCAATGCAAATGTTGGACATTTAGGGAAAAAATAACATCTCCTGGGGAAGGGGCTGACAGGGGGAAATTAAGCAGGCTCCAGTGAAGCGATAAAGAAGGAGAAGTGAAACTGTCCTCCGAGTGACATAAATCTGTCTGGGGAAGGATTGATGCCCAAATTATCTTATATGCAAAGACGGGAACACGGCAGTACATTATGGTCCCTGAGCTAGATATACGGGCTGTGGGTGACATGGTCGATCCTTCAATGGGGATTTGCTTTGAGATGCGTATTGGTAGGAATGAGCATGTGAGAGGGGTGGGCTCGCGCGCTATGTGTTTTGATTATTTTTTACTGGAGGGAGACAATTTCAGAGGGGCACTGTAGGGGCCAGCAGTGACAAGCCTGACCTGGGACTCTAAGACACAAGAGACTGAGATAAATTCAAATGGTTATTCATACAAGAATCCATTCTGTATCCAAAAGAAGGGAGATCTGTAGCACACGCATACAGACACAGGCTGTCTGTGTGACTGGTTGCACACACCCGACACAGCTACAGTAGGGAAAATAAGTATTGAACATGCCAATGTTTTTCTCAGTAAATGTTTTTTTTTTTTTTGTTCTACTGGGTCTATAGAGATTTAATTCAAACCAGATGTCAGTTACAACCCAATTAATCCACACATAAAAGGAAACAAAACAAAACAGTCTATAAAGGGTGTGTTATAAAGCGGAATGGCACAAGGAAAAGTATAGAACATGCTTACTAAAATGCGTTAAATGCAGAATAGAAAGGCCTCTTTTTGGGGCATGACAGCAAGTTTTCTGTATGCAGGAACTGGCTGCATACAGATGCAGCACTCAGATGTGATGCTGACCCAGTCTTCCTCCCAGTCTTGGAGATTCTGGGGATCTCTTCTATGCATTCTGGTTCTACAGTTCTTTCAATCAGATTCAAGTCAAATGAACTACTGCGTCATTTTAGGAGCTTCATTTTCTTTCCCTAAAACCACTTGAGAGTTTTCTTGGCTGCATATTTGGGATCGCAGTTTTGCTGAAAGATCCACTTTTATTTCATCTTCAGATTCCTATCTGTCAGGCCGATCTGCCGAAAGACAATCTTGCGCCATTCTTTTGAGATAATATCCACTACGATTCCTCCAAACTTGGGATTCACGATGACATCATAAGAGTTCACTGTCGACATCATCTGACCAGACTGTATCTTCCCAGTACTTCACTGGTTTGTCCAGATTTTCTACAACAAACGTCTCGTGAGCTTCAAGGATGCTTTTTCTTCATCAGTGGAGTCAGATGCTGTGAGCACGTGCCGAGGCCGTGATGGTCCTCTGATGGAAATCTTACGGAGAGAATCTGGCCATGCCCAGCTTATTTCGAAATGTTCTTTCCGTTTATCAATTCTGGCTAACGTCCTGTTCACTGGAACATTAAAAAGTTTAGAGAGATATCTGTTAAGCATGAAATTAGAAGTAATAAGGCTTGAAAGGTCTTGAGAGAGCTCTTTTGTTTTTACCCATGCTTCTTATATGATATCTCAGTAATAGCAGACCCGTTTAGGGTGAATCTGGTATTAACTAGCATCAATAGGGATAATTGCTTTCTGAATATTGACAATTTCAGATGACCTCTTGGGTTTTGTTAAAGTTTTTCTTTTTTTTCCCTTCATTTGTTCAAATCATATTTTTTTTGCCATTGCATTTAATGCATACAGCTTGATTAATGTCTCTATTTGTTTTGATTTTAAATTGCATTGGGAATACTTGCGTTTACCCATCCCCATTACAGATAACCTTAACGTATTTAATACTTTTCTTTGCCCTCGCCCCCCCCACCTCCCACCATAAATGCCATACTGCTGCGATGCTGGCATTTGAAAAATCAAGACTTATCACATCCTAAAGGAAGCACGGCAGAGCAGATTTTATTTAACACCCAAACTCCCTTGCTCAATGGGGCACAATATAATAACACTTACCTTGATTAAAAGAATCCTTTATATGTAAATGCAGACTGGATTTTCCAAAGGGTCACAGCAGCAATTCTTCCGACAGAGATCATTTCACCCCTCCGGTGCCAGCTTTCTTTCTGTCTTCAGAACGACGTTCGGTCTCATCCCCTCCTGTCTCCGCTAATGGCGCCTGAAAAAAAAAAAAAAAAAAAAATCAGGAAGCAATGTTCCCTAAAACAGTCACACAGAGACAACATTTGCTCAGGTTGACTAATTCTTAATATACGTCTATATAATTTTGAGACGATTTAATTACGTAACATATTTTATGCTTCATGAACAATTACATTAATAGCTTAATACAGAGGAATATTACCCTCTCTTGATTTGATTACACAGCCACACAATATGGTATATTTGGTACTTAATTATGGCCAGTCATTGAGCAGGACTACTGTGCCATAACAGAAATGCAAAGCCTATTCAGGAGGCAGGCATGCAGAGATGGCAGGACAGGAGCTCAGTCTGTTCTCAGTTATTGTCTTCAGATGGTTTTACCACTCTTGTTAATAAACGGGGTGGGAGGGGAGGGGTAGCGGAGGGGGCTTTCAGATCTACTTAATGGAATGACAGCAGCTTACAAGAGAAGAGATTACCAGTTTACAGTGTCAAAAAACATCTGCTGGGCCTTTTAACAGGAGCTGCTCTGGGTTATATGGAGGCCGGGGGCACCCATCATGCCCTCCCACCCTGAATGTTTTATTTATTTTACGACCCAAGCAGTGAGATTTTAAAACGGTAGATGGCACAGGTCTCAACCGATGAGACCGGCTATCAGTCGGTCGGGGCCCTCTCCTCTTCCTGCCTCCGCTGGGGGCCTTCCAGTGTCACTTCTTAATTGTAGTGTACCAAGGTGGAGGAATGCAGAGAGCAGAGCATGCCCGGTGACCTTACAGTGACCTCTCCTCTCCTATTACGGCTTCATTCCCCCTGGGGTTCACATTACAAAGCAGGGCCAGCCCAGACCCAGTCCCACCCCAAAAAAGGCCTCCTGGCTTCACAGAGGCCTCCCGCTCGCCAGCCTCTCCCCGCAGGTTCTGCTCCTTCGGACCATCAGCGCACTCACACTCTGGTCCCAGACTCCAGGAGATGCAGCCCCCCCCCCCACCCCCACCCGCCCCTCCTCCAGGACATCTTCCTCTTTTCTTTCTGATTACAACAAACAGTCGGATGAAAAGCCAAACAGCGGCTCTGCTGAGCCAGCTCTGTGTCCTGGGTGCTGTCACAGCGAGAGAGATGCCAGCATGCTGAGGTCTCCACACATATGAAGTGGAGACCATCTTAGGGGACATCACCATATCCACCTCCTTCTCCCTTTCATTCTCTGCCTGCTTCCTTTTTATCTTTGTTACTTTGTCTGGCTGCCGCTTCCTGCTCTTGCTGTTCTTCCAAGCCCGCACTCCACACCTCCACGGCACGTTGCAAAAGTATTCACGCCCCTTAAATCTTTTTGTATTACGCCCACAAACTTCAATGTGTTTTATTGGCCTTTTTGAACGCATGCCAACTCAAAGTAGCGCACGGCTGTGGAGTGACGGAGGAACGCATGATTTTCTTCGTTTCTTTTTTTTTTTTCCCATGATGAAAATTGTGGCTTAGCATTTGTATTCAATCTCATTTGCTTGGATACTCTTAAATAAAAATCCATCATTTAGTGTCAGGATAAAAACAGCTTTTCTGAAAACACATTTAGAGATTTGTTCGATAACATTAGAGGATCAAGCGACAAAAAATGAAGAGCGATTGAAAATGACCAAAACAAGACAGAACTACATGGTAACTGTGGAGAAGCTGCAGAGATCTTAGGCGTCTGTAAGAGGATCCAAAAAATCTTGCAATCCAAAAACACTTCCCTTAATAGAAAGCCGTTGTTGAAAGAACACCAAAAATCTTGTGTCTTTTACAGTCTCTAGTGGGTTTTTCTTTAACTCTTTTTCTATTGACAGCTTCCCCACACCATAATGCTGCCGCTGCGATTTTACATCATGGGAATAATGCTAACGGTGTCATTTTAATTCCACAACCACAAACCCGGGCTTCTTTCGCAAACAATCAGAAATAAAAATATTAATTTAGAAAAAAAAGGTTCCAGCAGTATGAGCACTTCCTTCTCCAAGGAATCGCTAGCCTAAAAACTCTCCGTTTCAACAGACAAAACGAGGCCTGACGTTCACGGTTCCGCTGATACAACTTCCTGAGCCCTGAATAATTTAGCGTCTTCTTTAAGGGATTTCAGAGTAAATATGTACTCGCAGAGACGTGTCCCCGGGGGAAATTGCTACTAAATTCAGCTGGGGAATTGACTGTTCCACTAGTAAAAAGTATTAGCACTTCTCCACATCAATACCCTTGCTCGGCTTTCCTCACATCCTCCAGGACCGCCGCTGTCTGTGGATGACTGAGGATCGCTTTCCAACCTGAGACCAGACCACAACGCTATTGGGCATTGTAAACCACTCACCATGGACTAAAATAGCCCGGCGCAATAATGTCTCTCTTTACATGCGGAGGCTAAAAGCTCTGTAGTCGCACACGCAATGTCATAAAGTCTGCTAAGCTCTCTGTTGGCAAAGTTGAGGTTAAATTGAATTAAGGCCTGTTAATGGAGAAGGAGCGTGTCAAAGCTGCAGTTTTATTGACTCCATGAATACATTTCTCTCCCTCTGCGTTTCCCTCAGGTCTGCCAGTCATGCCAGGGGAGTTCGTACCTCAGAGAAGTCCTATGGGCATGAGCATGGGCCCACCCACCTACTCCAACCCTCATCAGATGCCTTCTCACCCGTCGCAGCTCAGACCCGGACCACCACCTCGCCATGCATACCTTACCGATCATCCCCACGCTCCCCACACCATGCTGATGCACGGAGGACCCTCGTTGCACCCAGGAATGACCATGTCTGCACAGAGACCCCCTTTGCTCTCACCCATTGACCCCAGTACTGGAGGATATGGCCTGGACATCCACGCCCAATAGTAAAGGGACGAAAACAGCAGCTACGACAAGAAACATTTCCAAAAATAAGTAAAAAACAAGGAGAGAAAAAGAAGAAAGCAGCCCCACTATAAATCCTATTTTGAGACTATTTTTAAGAATAAAAGTGAACCCTTTTGACCAGAATTTGACACTAAAGAAGCAGAATTCCAGACGAGCTGTGATTCTTTTTTTTTTTTTAAATAAAAAAATATTGTCAATTTTGTTACTTTCAACAAAAAAAAAAAAAAAAAAAAAAAAAAAAAAAGATGGAGGACCAAGCTGACAAGAACACTTTGTAAAGTCTTGGGCTTTTGGTAAAGATCAACACGAAATGTTTTGACATATTAAAAAGTAAAAAGCAAAAAAAACAACAAAAAAAAAAACAACATGCGATGAACGGACAGACGCGCGTGACGGAAAACACACACAGACACACTCGTTTTGGCACATGCCATGACACACATATTTTCATGTGACACGCTCTTTCAAAAATGAGAATAATATCACCCCACAGAAGTTAAATAAAAACAAAAAAGAGAAAGAAGCAGAAAGACTCCAAGAGTTATAACTACTGTAGTATAAAAAGTACAGATAAATAAGTTAAAACTTGTGCATTTTTTTTGTTTTTGTTTTGTTTTGTTTTGTTTCGTTTTGTTGATCACATGTTTTATGTTGCGCTAGTTTTAGAATTAAAGGTTAACCTTTTTCTCTCTCACACACTGTGTGTGCTCCTTCCTGGAGAAGAAACTCTCTCGCAGCACAACACTAAACATGGAAAAAAAGAGGAAGAAAAAAAAAAACAATAAGAAGATGGAACATCTCAACAAAGCTTCAAACCACAGAGGGGCAATCAGGCCCTGCCCCCCCTCCCCCTAAGAACAGGGCATGATGGGAAAAGGCTGCTAAAGGATTCAGTTTGAACATTTGTCATGCCCCTCTCTCTGTCTTTTTTTTTCTTTTCTTTTGGTTCATGGATGGGTGTTTGCCCTGTAGGTTTTAAAGGAGAATAAGGTTCGTTATTTGACTTGCCCAAGCACTGGATTGTGTTGGTTTTTGTACATTTTTATTATTATTTTTTTTTATTTCAACTTTTTTTTTCTTTTTTACCCTGGACTCTCATTGGTTAAGAGCCTTTGGAAGGAAGCTTGAGAGCAACACTCTGCAGCGCTTCTTCACGTGCCGGATTGACACAATTTTGCCATAAGGACAATAACTGACACAGATGTTGATTCTGTGGCACTGGAGAAGCATTTTGATGGTTGATGCACCAAAAAAACATAAGCGGAAAAAGAGAAAAAAAAGAAAAAAAAAACAACACTTAAATTATGAACTCAATGCTTTTGGGAGGAAAAAAAAGCGGAGAGAATATTGTAACAAACTTCGTACAGAGTTCAGTCTATTAATTGTTTCATGTTAGATATTCTATGTGTTTACCTCAATTGAAAAAGAATGTTTTTGCTAGTTTCAGATCTGCTGTGGCATTGATATTGTATGTCCATGAATTCCTTCCTTTTTCAGCACGTGTTCCTCACTAGATGATAAGATGCCGTCTCCCTTAAGCTTTGTCAGAAATACATTAAATACTTGTATGAGGACTGTGACGTAATGTTTAAAAGGTGTTCAGTCACAAATGCTGTAATAAATATTTCATTTTTTGGATTTTTGTTAGTTTTATTTTATTTTTTGTGTTATTAACTGTGTTACATACAAAGTCGTAATTGACACTCCCCCCTCCCACATTTTAACAGAGCTCAGCTTGGTTGGTTACTTATTGTTGGGGTATATTGTTGCATGTTAAATTTATTTTTGCACATGGTTATAAAAATACATCACTTTCTCACTTTGTTCCTGCGCTCTTCTTGCAATAGAATGGCTCCTCTTAAGATGACAAAAACAAATTGTGGCGGAGGCCCATCTTGCCACGGCAGTTTATTCAGGCACACAAATGTTCCCTTCAAATGATAAATAACTTTCAAATGCAAATGAAGGGAGCAAATTGCACAGCAAACTTGCCACCGAGCCATTTCAGTTGGAAACCAAAAAATAAAAAAAAAAAAAAAAAA